GGAGGCCAATTTGATGAGCTGTTTCAGTCCATCCAGGGCCTGAAATAACACTGGGGGCTAAAATCAAGTCCAAGGTATTTATAAATACATCCAGGGTGAAAGGATAATCAGGGAAAGAGAGTGATACTGACCAAAGTAGCAAACTGTATATGTGCAGTTGGAAAATGCTCCACTATACGAAATCAGTCCATTGCATCTGTCTTCTCTACAGTGAGCACAGTGTAGGTACAGAAATTGAAATGGGACTTGAACAGATTAGCATTGAGGGGGAGGTGTTAGCAGCTTTAGCGATTTAAAATTGGGTAAATTCTCAGGCTCAGACAAGATGTATCCCAGGCTGCTGCGGGAAGTGATTGCAGGGTTGCTGACAATTTTCAAATTGTCTCTTGGACACAGAGATTCCAAAGGACTGAAAGACAGCTATTTTGGTTCCATTATTCATGAACAAGGAGGGGAGAAATGAAGCAGGAAACAATAGGCCAGTGAGTCTTAAAAATCAGTGGTCAGGAAGCATTTGGTAAAAAAAAATTCCAGGGGCAGAATTAATCTCCACTTGGACAGGCAAGGGCTAATGAGGGCTGGTCAGCTTGGCTTTGTCAGGAAGAGGTCACATCTGGCAGCTCTGATTGAGTTTTCAAGTGGTGTGAATGAGGGCAGTGCTGTGGGTGTAGTCTACACGAACTTTAAGACGACTTTTGACAAGGTGCTGCATGGGAGAGGCTGCGGGATCCACGGCAGCTTGAGAAATCTCATCCAAAGTTGGCCAAGCGTCAGGAAGCAGAGGATGATGGTCGAACAGTGTTTTTGTGACTGGAAACCTGGTGTCCAGTGGCATTCCACAAAAAGCTGCTGTGCTGTTTTTTTGTAATCTGGACACGAAGGAAGAGGTATGATTGTAATCTGCCGAGTTACCATGGTATGGTGGTATGGTAAACAGTGACAAGGAAAGCCTTTAGGCAGCATGTAATCCTGAAAAGGTGTGGTGGTGCACTTTGGAAGGACTAACAAGGGAACGGAAGGGAGTACACAATTAATTTTAGAACGGAAGTTCAGAAGATCAAAATGGACCTTTGGAGCATGACCATAGAGCCATGTAGGCAGCAAGACAGGGAGTTCGGATGGTTAAGATGATATATGGGTATTTGCCCTTATTCATCAAGGAACTGAATGCAAGAACAGTGAGATGATGATGGAGCTGTAAAGGATGCTGGTCAGGCCACAGCTAGAGTACTGTGTGCAGTTCTGGTTACCATAGTATAGGAAGTATGTGACTGCAGTAGAGAAGGTACAGAGGTGATTCACCAGGCCACAGGACCTGAAACATTAAATGATTTCTCTCCACAGATGCTGCCAGACCTGCTGAAATTTATTGTGGGGAAATGATTGAAAGATGAAGCTTTGTGGCTTTCAGTTCTAAAACGAGGGGGGAACAAAAAAAAAAAAAATCTTTCCCGACACAAAAAGGAGGCCACTTTGAGGCGCTGTTTCAGTCCATCCAGTGCCTGAAATAACACTGGGGGCTAAAATTAAGGAAAGCCCAAGGTATTTATAAATACCTTGCTGAAGTTTCTCCAGCAATTTCTGTTTTTGTTTCAGACTTCTACTATCTACAGTTCTTTGTTTTATTGAGCAGGATGTTGTCTGGGCTGGAGTGACTCAGCTAAGAGAGACCAGATAGGTTGAGGGTGTTTTCCTTAGAGCAGAGAATACTGTGGGGCACCTGACTAAGATGTACAAAGTTCTGAGGGGTATAGATAGGGAATAAAGTTTCAAAATTTAGTAGAAGGGTCAATAACCAGAGGCATAGTTTTAAGGCAAGATACAGATGGTTTAGAGGGAAATTAAGGAGTCTTTTTTCCTCAAGAGGGTGGTGGGTATCTGGAACTCATTGCCTGAAAGGGTGGTAGAGGCAGGACTAGAGCATATCAGGCTATGCACCAAATGCTGAACAATGGGATTAGAGTGGAGTATTTAGGGTTTGATGAACAGCACAGAGTTTTACATTTGGACAGTTCTCATTCTCAAGGGGAGTAATTGGAGTTTGCCCATAATAGTACAGGGTGGTGGTGGTTTGGAGTAAGGACAGCAGTTTCCTTCCCTAAACAGCATTAGTAAATCAGATGGGTTTTTCCAACAATCAGCAACGGTCATCGCTAGACCTTTATTTCCAGATTTTTTTATTCAAATGAATTCCAATTCTGCCATGGCAGATGGCGGGACTTGAGCCATAGTCCCAGAATGTTACCTGGGTCTTTCGAATAACTGTCCAGTGACCATCCCACTAGGCCATTACCTGCCCATATCCTATGATGCTGTTCCTAACTGTAGTGAGTTCCCATTGATCCAATCAGCATGAATCAGTGATGAAATCTGGAGATCTTCCTGGTCAGTGACCTTTGCTCACCCTTGTCCTCTCCCCTGGTCTGGCCAAGCCTACATGTGACTCCAGACCCACAGCAATGTGGTTGAACCTGAACTGCCCTCTGGGCAATTAGGGATGGGGCAATAAACGCTGCCTAGCCAGCACTGCCTTCATCCTGTGAATGACAAATGACAAAAAATGTTTTCCTTCCTGCCATCTGTTGCGTTTGCACTGACCCATTGCTACCATTTTACTGCCATTTGATGTCTCTATTGGTTGGAGATGGGGTGCCTGCCTCTGATTTGGGAGGAAATCTACCGGATAATTGGATTGTCCAATCCCTACGTGTCAGAAGCTGCGGATTTCAGTGCTGACATGGGACAAATCTGAACGCTGGGAGACCAGGAGCAAGCATTTTTCACATTGGCCTGTTCAGGCATCATAGGACACACCTTTGCAGCAGGTGGGACTTGAGGCTGGACCTTCCAGCTCCAAGGTAAGAACACTACCACTGCACCACCTTAGTGGCATTTTGAACCATCATTCATTTGAGCAGAATCCTCGGAGGGCTTTTGGGGCTGTTTTACTGCCAGGAGCAGGTGAGGATAGGAGGGCCCTGGTGCTGAACTCCCAGGACCTTGGTGAGCTGGAATCTCACCAAGAAATGGGCAGCAGACTGCAATTTCCTGAAATGCTCAGACAATTTGATGCCAGTATTTGCACTGTACAATGGAGAACAACTTTAGCACAACTAATGCTTTAGCATTATCAAAACTTACAGCATCAAAAGGAGGCCATTCAGCCCAAGGTGCCTGTGGCAGTTCTCTAATAGTCTTTTGAATCTGCTGTCTCCACCCTCTCAGGCAGTGGCTTCCAGATCATAACTACTCACTGCAAATATAAAACGCACAACACCAGGATTTGCTTTACCAATTTTCTACTTTCTGCACTCTTTGCTTACCTGGAACCTAAAACACCTTCTTCATTAATATCCCTCACAACAATTCACTCCACCCTCCCTCCAACAATCCAATTGATGCCTTGGTTTCCCCAGTTGACACTGCGGTAATGAGACAGCTTCAACTCTCAAAACAGACTCGATTTCAATCTGTGAACAGCAGAAATATTGAACATGGAAATCCCACTTGAAATTCCAACCCTGCCAATTATCGAAATTCTGTGCTGTGGATGTAAGACAAAGGATCCAGCCACTAAGTGACTGTGGGATCTAATTGTGTTCCAGCAGGCAGTCAGGCCTATCAATAAATAATTTAAACCTGGCTCTTCACCCTTCCATCTCTTGGGACTGCAGTGTGTTACAAACCATGCATCTTCTTAAGACCTTTCATGTGGCAAATAGCAATTTATCAAGTTCCATCAACAGATCTGTTCATTGTTTGCATCCAATATGTTTCTTCTAAATAACACAATAAATCTGTATGTCAAAAGATTATATGTTTAATGTTTTGTTTTATTTTTCATTTAAGCCTTCCCTTCACTTAAAACGTGCTTTATCCTTTCACAAAGGCATTAAGTGATGAAGAAACAGATTTCCATGGGCATGGGCTGCCCTCAAAGTTAACATTTTTTTTCCAATCATTGACTGTCTAGAAACACGAGCTCCTGTAAAGCCCTAACATCCTAACTTGTTTTACATGCCCATCACCAGTACACCGACTCCCTGTAAAACAACTCCATTTTAAAAATTCATATCGTCCTATTTAAATTCCTTCATGGGTCTCTCTCAGAATCTTTACTGTGTAGGAGGCGGCCATTCAGCCCGTTGTACCTGCACTAGCTCCCTGGGCACTTGGTGCTTTTCTCCTGCCCTTTCCCTAGATCCCTGCATATTGAATGAATGATTAAATAGAAACTATGTCCTCCTGAATGCCTCAAGCCTGTTGCCCCTGCATTTCCAGGCAGTGGGAGCTCTCTGATTGGAGAGATTCAAAACACCAAACAGATTCTCCCCATCACTGTCATCTCCTCCAGCCCTACAACTGAGTTCTAAACGTTACTCCAATTCTGGCTTCGAGTATCCCTGATTGGTATCACTCCTTCATTGCTGGCTGCCAGTGATAGGGAAAAATTGGAAACTAGACAGTGACCTATTACTTAATGCTAAATTTGCAGGATGCCTGCCTCCTCCCCAACCAAAACTCAGTCTCTTTACACGTGCTTAAGGTACTTAAACCATTCAATGCCCTCCCCTGTATATCCTTAACCTTAAATAATACAATTGGCCATCATTAACATTACTTTGATATCAACTGATTGGCATCGCTACCCAAGTTGATAGATCCTCTGGGACTGACAGCTGTGATTGCCATACAAATGGGTGGGATTGGATCCTCATAAAACATTGACCCTTCAGAATGACCAGTGGGCAGGGCTGATTGGTTTCAGTACCCTGGATGGATCAACGGACTGGGTAACTTTTCTCATTTCTGGTGATTGGTCAATTCCGAGGAGTGAGGGAATCGAACAGAGAACGTAAACCACATTTAACAAATGATTCTGGAAACTTTACAAGAGCAAGTCCCACATGTTGGTATAAAAACAGCGTCAGGTGTTACGAAGCACACACACACACAGATGACAAATGGCACTCGAAGCCAGTACAGGGACAGCTGCTTACCTGCTGCACTGCTGCCAGGCTCTGCAACTGGGCGCTGCTCAGGTGTTGCTGCTGTAGAGCTGCAGTTTGCAGCATCAGGTGCTGCTGTTGGGCAGCATACATCTGCTGGAGGTACTGAGCGGCAGTGTTGGGCTGGCGATGGAGAGCCTGCTGGATCACCTGGACACAGGAGAGAGAGAGAGCAGAGAGAGAAAATCACATCAGTACCAGCAGCAAAGTCAACATATACACAGTGAGGACAGACTCCAGCAGCCAAACAACTATTATTTCTCCAGATGCTGATCAAAGTCCATCGAAAAATCCTCTATAATCCTCATTGTTTTCAATAACAAAGTTGTGTTAGTTTGATAAAGTGCTGGAGAAACTCTGCAGATCTGGCAGCATCGGCAGTGAGAAAGCAGAGTCAACTTTTCAAGTCCAATATGTCTCCTCTTCAAAGCAGAGGGGACTCAAAACATTAACGCTGTCTCTCTCCGAACGTGCTGTCAGATCAGATGAGTTTCTCCAGCATCCATACAATCTTGCTTGTACCTCAGTCATGTTAATACTTTGATAACAGGAACTGACCATTGAGCCCCTCAAGCCTGCACCACCAGATTATGGCTGCTTGTCATGTTCTCAGTTCCACTTCCCTGTCCACACCTAACCCCCAACCTCCCACCTACACCCCCACCCCACCTCCCAGCCCATTCCCAATCCTCCATTCTTTTGTTAGTCAAAAATCAACCTAATCCTGGAGTTGAATAAAAGCAACGAACCAGCTTTTACTGCTCTTTGGAGAAAAGAGCTTCGCTCTCAAACGGAAAGATATTTCTTGTCCCCATCTGCCCAAGAGCAATTAGGGATGGGCAATAAATGCCTGTCTAATCAGTGGAGCCCACATCCCATGAATGAATAAATAAAATACACAACTTCTTTTTCTTGAACTACATCCCTAGTTTCAGTCCCTCCTATAAACGGGGGAAACAACCTCCCAGCACCTGCCCATCAAGTCTCCTCAAGTTCCTTCATCTGTCCAACGTCTAAACTCCATCGGATAAAGGGCAAACTTTTCCTGCTCAGATAAGCCCCTCATCCCAGGAATGAAGTGAGTCCACCCCCTCAGGCTTGTTCCTAATATAGTTGGATCTCTTTTCAATAAGAGGGGGCCAGAGCTCCAGGTGATGCTGGGGTATCCAAGGTCCTGCAAAAACTAATATCACAGAATCCCTATGGTGCAGATAGAGGCTATTCAGCCCATTGAGTCTATGTTTAATAGTTTGGCATGCATTGTGAATTACTGAGCCAGCATTCAAGCTTAAATCATCAATATCTTTAATAAGAGACAACAAGGTATAGAGCTGGATGAACACAACAGGCCAAGCAGCATCATTGGAGCAGGAAGGCTGACGTTTCAGGTCTAGACCCTTCATCAGAAATCAGAAATATCGCAGCCCATTTCTGGAGGGTCTAGGCCCGAAACGTCAGCCTTCCTGCTCCTCTGATGCTGCTTGGCCTGCTGTGTTCATCCAGCTCTACACCTTGTTGTCTCGGATTCTCCAGCATCTGCAGTTCCTGCTATCTCCAATATCTTTAATGATCTTGTTGTTTCTGTGACTAGTAATCAGACAAATTCTGACCCTGCATTTTAGGTTCATAAACGACAAAGACTTAAAAAAAAATGCTTTTCAAATGCATGAGGCTTGACAGCCAGCCAGCTTGCACTCTTTCACTTTCACCTTTACTCTCACTCCCACTCTGCAACATAAAGATCCAACACTTGATCATTTTTGTGTCTGTTCTGTTCTCACATGGATGAGCAAAGTCAACAGGGAGGGGCTGGGTCACCTGTTAAACAGGGAATGTGTTCCATGACAAACAACACATTCCAAGGACCAAGGGCACAACAAGCCTAGGATTCTGGTCAGGACACAGGAGCCAAAGTTCAGAACACTGATCTCCTGAGACATTAAAATCAACTTTCTCCAATCCACTCCCTCTCAACTTCCACGAGCTTTTTGACTGAGCTCTTGTTTATGTGTCACAATCCCACGATGTGGCCCGAGTGCCAGGCTTTTATAGAAATGCTCCTGCGAAGCGACATGGGAGATTTGAAGCGACATGGGAGATTTTACATTGAAGATACCATCTGGATGCAAGTTGTTGCTATTATTACCACCTGAAGCTTGTTTTCAGTTAAACCCGTTATCTGGTCTAAATCCCCTTATGTTCCCAGTTTCAGCTTTGGTCACAGTTTGTGATCAAGGCTGGGAATCCTCAGCTGGCTACATTTCCCCCGCCTGGCCTGGGAATAATCAATGTCCGAGATCCCAGTCGGAGATCAGAGAGGCTGCACAGGTCAGGGATCAAAGCTGGGAGCGCCGTGCCCATGGTGCTGAGCCTCCTATGGAGGGGGAGGAATTGTAACCATTTCTGGGGGCTACAGTGACCTGTGTGTGAGACAAATGTTAAAAACCTCACAGAAACTTTGCAATTTTGGATGAAGTGGCCATCACAACTAACCAAAGCACAAATGACCCTTTCTAGAAAAAGGTCAAAACGGCAATGGGTCCCATTCCTCATTGTGTCAAAGATTTGTGTGAAAAATAAATCAAACGCCTCTCACAATCCAATCACAAAAACAAAGAACTGCAGACTTTGGAAATCTGAAACAAAAACAGCAAGTCCTGGAGAAAATTAGCATGTCTTAGAATTCTGATCACGGGTTACTTGACTTAAATTATTAACTCTGCTTCTCTCTCCACTGATGTTGTCAGACCTGCTGAGTTTCTCCAGCAATTTCTGTTTTTTCCCTGCAAGTCACAATTTTCCGCATTTGTCAGTGAAATGTTGCTTACCAAGCAGTGAGTCAAAAATCTATCCACCCCCAAATATTTCACAAAGTCTTTCACTTATTAGACAACAGCAACTTGTATTCACCTTTCACAGAACAAAATGTCCTGATGTGTGTCACAGGCTCGTTATAAAACAAACAGTGATGCCTTGTGCTACATTAGGTCAAATGACCAAAAACATGGTCAAAGAGATACAGTCTACAGAGATAGAGGCAGACAGGTTTAAGGGAGGGAATTCCAGAGCTTGGGAAGCAGGCAACTGAAGTTACAGATACTAATGGCAGTAATGATAGACTGAGGACACTGAAAACAGAAGGAAAGGTGCAGAGATTTTGAAGTGCTGAAAGGCAGGAGGTGGTTATACTGACAAGGAGCACTGATATCCAGGAAGGACCTGAAAACAAGCTTGAGAGAGATTTAATAGAAAACATTGCTGGACTGGGCACAGAATCGATAGGGGAGCTGAGTTTACTGGGAGCCGAGCAGGGTTTAGGATGGGGGACAGAGGGAGGCCAGCAATGGGCACATCAGAACGATATCGTAAAAAGATTCCACCAGGGACTAGTCACGTCCAAATGAAGGCCGGACGAGGGTTTCAGCAGTCGATAAGCTGAGGGAGGGGCATGGGGAGGGATGCAGGTGATACTACACATGAAGAAGATTACAAAAACAAATCCAACCAGACACTTAAAAACTATTTTGTTTTGACTCGTGCCAACAACAGGAGTGAAGTCTCTGTCCCAGGTCTGCTGGAGTTTTACCTGATGACCCTAAGCTAACTGTGTCAATGGGCGATGCTGGTCTTGCCTCCCTGCTGCTCAAACTCAGTCAGCATTGCAGGCTGGCAGGCCAATCGTTCTGATCTGCCCATTCAATTTACCCAAAGGATGCATGCAGAGAAGGCGCTTTCCTGTTCTCAGGCAGTGCTGATGTTTCGAGGAGGAATCAATGTATTTGTACAAAAGCTGCAGACCCCCACCCTGGGATAATAAGAACTGCCGATGTTGGAGTCAGAGATAACAAGATGTGGAGCTGGATGAACAGCAGGCCAGGCAGCATCAGAGGAGCAGGAAAGCAGACGTTTCAGGTCAGGACCCTTCTGAAGAAGTCCCCCACCCTTGGCTGGGCACAGGGGCTGATCTTCCCCCAGTTACTTCACTGGCCAGGGTGAACTTCAAAATCTGTTTATGAAAAGCTGTGCGGAGGTTGCAGTAACAGTGTCAGGTTGTGCCCGGGTGGATTCTTTTTACAATATCCCTCCCTTCCTCAGGGTAAATCCACCCCGGGACAAGTGGCTGAATCTCACCCACCACTTTGAACCATGTGGTCCATCCAAACATCACAGGCAATTCTCCAACAAAAGGCCTCACTAGCAAGGTCTCACCCAATGGTGAATACCCACCAGGAAGTGTGGCTGACTGTTCTTCACAACAACAACAACAACTTGAATGTATGGCAGACAGTTCCATTTTTATAGTGCTTAGGTGGTCTCAGAGGGTTTTTATAGCCACTTTTGAATTGTTGCAGCATCTGCTTATAGTGTCAGAAACTTTACAGCCAACAAATGCACAGCAAGCTCCCATAAGCAGTGTCACAGCAATCAGTTACATCGGTGATGTTATTGGAGGAAATCGGGGAGAACTCTCCCTCTTTTCTTCTAAACAGTGCCCCAGGATCTTCTATACCCATCTGAGGGGGTGGGCAGAGCCTGGTTTAATCGCATTCGAAGAGGAAGAGAATTTATAATAAACACAGGTTCAGGTACAAAATAAAGTCTTCCCTAGACACTTGACAAAGGCAAATAAGTGATTTGGGAAGAATATCCCAGTGCAAGGAGCCAACTGTAGATCTTTAGCAAAGCCATGTTACCCTCAGCTCACAGTCTGGGGACCTACCTGGACTCTGCAATTCAGCTCAGTCCTGGGCAGGCAGTTTCTAAACAGAGACTATGCCGAGTGGGGCTCAACAATTCTGTAGCTTTCTAGATAAACTGATGTTAAATCCTCACCAACAGACAGAACTCTCCCCGCTAACTGGCAATGTGACTCATTCGTTCAGACAATCCCAGCAAATCAAATCCCAGCTCCTCTCAGATTTATGGAAGGAGCCATTCGCCAACACATGGAGCGAACTCCTCGTGAAACACACAAAACAGCGACACCGCTCACATTGTTCTGCAGCTGGGTGCTATCACTTTAAATCAAAATGTGACCCCATTAAAAACCATCAGGCTCCAGCCTACCAACAGATGCAAGCAGGCAAGACTATTTGCCAAGTGATCCTTCAGTCTCTTCATTATGAGCTGTAACACAATACTAAACAAAG